GGAGAAGTATTACCGGAAACGGTAAGAGCGTCGGAATGGCCATTTCTGCCTTATCAACTGTCATTATCCAACCCCACGTGCTGGCGAACCCAGGGTTGTACCTGATTGCGCCTTTTTGTGTTTACTCGAACAGCCTTGTTGTAAGCTGGTGTCGCCTACCGTTAGTTCGGTGGGTGAGTTGTCTCGCCCCTGCTAAGTCCACGGTGGCTGGGCTTTCCTACTTCGTCGGCATAGGTCTAGAACCCCACTTGCGTCAACATGTGAGTCCCGGGGTGAGGGTTGCAGCTCACTATGCACTTATCCTCTGCCTACAACCATAAGAATGGGTGGGCTCTGCTATTCGTCTACTAATCATTTCTGGGTCGTGTGTTGTACTTTCTTGTCGATTTAACAAGAGGGGTGTCGGCTGTCTTCACTAAAACAGCCGCTTCACGATGGTAGAACCCCAAACGAAAAGGCAAACGTCGGCATCTTCATTCCAAGGTCTTTCTCTGCGGTTAACTACCCAGCCACACTGCTTCGAGTCTGCCCCTAAAAGACTATAGCCTGGTCTTTGATTTTGTCATACGGCGTTGTCGCGTCGGCAGACTATCTTGGTTCATGATTTGGAAGACATTCAACCAATGGAAGTGGGTTTAAGCAAAAGACAGTGTGCTGGTTCAGATTGTTTTAAGTCGTTTCTCCTTTAGACTGTTTTCTTTTGGGGCTTCCCGTCGGCGAGGCAAAGTTGTTCCCTAGGAGTGCTGATTGCTGGTTTACTTCCTAGGGTCAAGATGAAGAAGACGGGAATTTAAGTAAGAACAGTCTCATTAGGGCGGTGACCACGGTCGTCGTTGCGGTGTCGGTCCAGCCCTGGTCGTAATTATTCTGTTTTTTTAGTTATTCTTGGACTGCGTGTTGTCTACTTAGACCTTTCCCCACACCCTAGTGGATAAGTAAGTCTCATCCACCTTTATCAGGTTCTGTCTCTCTGCCGCGCTTCGGAAAGTTGCTGCTGGGCTTTCAGTTAGTCAATTTTTTAATGTCCCTATGGGTAGATTAAGG